GAATGGGCAGATGAGGAAACAGGACAGAAACAACAATTGCAGTGGACCCGGTTACCCCAGGGATTTACAGAATCCTCCAATTTATTTGGTCAATCCTTAGAGGAACTAGTGAAGCAGTTTATGTACAGTAAAGAAACACAAGTCCTACATATGTAGATGATATATTGGTCTTAGGGAAACTGAAGGAAGAGGTCCAAAAGATGACAGTTGTTTACGGAATTTCTTAGAGGAAAACGATCTAAGAGTGTCAGAGAAGGAATTACAATTTGTAGAACCTGAACTGAAATATTTAGGGCATTTAATTGAAAAAGGATATAAAAAGTTAGATCTGAGCCGAGTTCAAGGGATATTATCATTATTGGCACCGAAGACCAAAATGGACATAAGGAAATTATTAGGGCTAATTGGATATTGTAAATTTTGGATAGAAGGTCATACTAAGTTAGTTAAACTCCTACATGATAAATTGGTAGGGGATGAACCTATCACTTGGAGTAATGACAATGAAGAAAAGTTGATAGAATTGAAAGAAAAACTGGCTAGCGCCCCAATATTAAGCTTACCTGATGTAAATTGATTATTTGAACTATTTGTTAATGTTGAAGAAGGAATAGCCTATGGTGTTCTGGTGCAGGAGTGGTGTGGGGTCAAGAAGCCTGTAGCTCACGTGTCTAAATGATTGGATCCTGTGGTTAGAGGATGGTTGTCTCCAAGCCATAGCTGCGACAGCAGCCCTCATAGAAGAGAGCTATAAACTAACGTCTGGAAAAATCGAAGTGTACACCCCACATGATCTGAAAGCAATTCTAAGCAAAAGGGCAAGTCACTGGATATCAGATAGTAGACTCTTAAAATATTAATTAGTTTTAAATAATAGTGAAAACCTGGAATTGGTTATTACAAAAATTCAGAATCCATCACAGTTTTTATATGGAAGACCAATAGAAGAGGAGTTAGAGCACTGATGCCTGGAGATCACTGATTTACAAACCAAGGTCAGAGAAGACCTTCTGGTGAGGTCCAGACCAGAAGGACCAGAAGACCAGACTGCTGAGGGATCTGGGGCACACAAAGTATTAACTTCTTCCACTTGCCATGAACCAGACACAGGAAGGTTCTAGAGTTGAATAACTGTCACCCTGGTCTTCCCAGCAAAGTGTGGAGCTTTTTCTGTGGGTTGCTCTACAGGACACCAGGCCTGATGGTGGCATGTGGCACATTTCCCTGCCTCAAAGGGAAAAAGGATCTTTGCTCAGGAGTTAGCAAGGCTCTTTGAGACAGCTTTAATCAGGATTGGAAGAGAAAAGGGAATAAAACCAGGCTCACCTGGGAGAAGCCTGAGCACTGCACACCCACCTTTGCATCATAGCAGTGGAGGGAAGCCGTGCTGCCTGGTCATGAAGCTGTAGCAGAAGTATTGGGAAAAGCAGGCTTCTTGCCAGAATGCTGTCTAGACAAATGTGTAGTGCCAAAGAAAGGCACCTGCAATTGGGTTTTTTAATGGCACCTTCATATGAGGCTTTTGATGGGGATTTCTGAGGAATAAGATATGAGTGCCTCTGCATTTCCGTGCACAGTGCTGCCTCCCAGAATACATCCACGCTTCTCTACTTGTGCTCCTTCTGTTCCTATGTAGAACAAGGAAACTGAACAGAGAGATGGTGCCTGAATGCAAAGGCAACATAGGTGTACTTTGGGGTGTACTGGTAGGGGGGTGCAATGCCCAATGTTGATGACAGTTTACAGGATGCCATGTTGTTATGAGGTCACAGAGCCCCACTCTGCTCTTCAGTGCAACTCTGGGCAACACTGCAGCAGCAGCAGCAGTGACAGTGGAGGCAGAATGTTGCAAGCAGGCAGGGTCATGGTCCTGACCACCTGCTCCTCTTATTCCTGGCCCTGCAAGCTCAGAACACCCAGAGTGCTCAAATACCTGAGCAGGGAGCAGGTAGGCAGGCAGGGGCCAGCACATAGCCCTGGCTGGCAGCAGTGGGGCCAGGGCTTGGCTGAGCCAGGAAGCCACTATGGTGTGGGTGGTGGGGCAGACTCACCAGGGAAGGTATGAGGGGCTGCAGCTGCTTCAGGGTGCAGCATGGAGAGAGGTTCCTAAGGAGCAGGGAGGTGGGGAGGGGCAGTTCAGGCCCAGAACCTCGGCACTGAGTTATCAGTCACTCAGCACTGGTCATCCACCCCGAGCTCTGATTATCCAGCCTCCTGGCCAGGCTCCAGTGCTGACCCGCCCATGGGTCCTGTGGGCACACCATGGTTTTTCACTTCATGTGAGAGCTGCCAGCTGTGTTCCAAGGGCAGCCAGACCTCCCTGCAGCTGTGAGAATGCAGGCCTGTCTGTGCATGCCCTGTCAGCACCTTCCACATTCAGGTCTTGAGGTGTGACCATGAGGGCAGTGCATCTGATGGTAACTTCTTGTGGGTGTTTGCTTCTAGTTGTGGACACAGAGAGTGCTCTTTCAGCCCCTGAGCTAGAGCCAGATTCCATGCTGATTCCAAGCTGGTATCTCAAGCGTGAGTAGTCAGTTTCTACTGCCTTACAAGAATAAACACTCCATTATCCTATGTTACTCATGGGAAATGTACCTTCATAGGTTAACCTTCTTTTATAACTCTAACCTAGGGAAGAATGATGACAAGGTCCCTGAAGAAATCCCTGAAGGAGTCCCTGAAGTTCCAGAGGAGCTCCTGACAGCCTTGGATGATGCCTCATCTGGTTAGTGTATCCCACTCAGTTAAACTGGGGACCTGGGAAGCTTTTCTCCATATAATAAGAATCTGCTTTCTGTATGGAAGTGCTGTATCCTGGACAGCCAGAAGCGCTCAGTCAGAGTTTTGCTGCAGGGACACTCCATTTCACACCTCCTAGAGTGAGCCATAGAGATGGCTGAGAACAGTGTCTGCTCTCAGTTGTGGTTCCAGATGATTACCAGGGGCACCTCCTGCTACTGCTGCTGCTGCAGTTGTACCATTACTGGCCAGATCTGCTGTGTGCCGACACTGGCATCCAGATGTTGGGAAAAGGCCTGTGCTGAATCTGCATTTGCCTCATACTTAGCTCAGCACTGAGACAGAAATGATATCCATGAAATGTTGGCTGCCCCTGCCACATTCAGGTATGGCTTAAAGCTGGACCCCAACTGTGAAGGTGAACCTGAAGGGATTCCTTGTGTGGGATTTGGTTGATCAAGTCTTAGGTGGTTTGGGTCTGCATTTCTTGCTGTATTGCAGAAAATCCGCCTGTGGATTCCTCTTGTCTTTGGGGACAGTGGGCTCCTCACTGCCACTTACCAGAATGTCCAGGTCATGATACCGTGCTCCTAGTAAGGGACAGTGGTGTCTCCTATTTTTTCTGAAGAGACAGATTCTGAGTCTGTGCTGGAGACACTTCCTATGGAAGAAAGTGACAGCGTGCCAGGCTCAGATGATGAAACAGAACCAATACGGGACACCAGCATGCTTGCTGAGTCTGAGGAAGATTCCGGTGAGTGCTTGGGAGGTGCTGTTTTGGGAAAAGAGCAGCATCTCTGCTGTATCCCAGCAGTGCTCTCCATGGATGAATTGCAGGTGCCCAGCACACAATCCTGGCCTGCAGCCCGGAGGAAAAGATAGGGGCAGTGCTGCTCCCTGATACACACTGGGCTCTTCTCTTAGAGAACTTTATGGGATCTCCCTTGATCCCTGGTGCTGAGACACCAGAGCCAGAGGAACCGATCTCTGAAGACAAGAATCCTTGGGCATCTGAAGCACACTGTGAGATTATCCCTAGTGCAGAGTACAAACATTGTCTCTTGCATTGTCTTTTCTCCTTCCAGGGTCAGCTACTGTGCAAAAAGCCAAGACTGCTGGATACTGTGACCCGAGCAAGTACTACATCCTAGGGACAGTAACAGCCTTAGCTTTGATTCTGCTTGGGGCAATGTCTGGGTATATAGGCCTGTATCAGCTGCTGAAGAGAGGCATGTGAGTTATTTATTGCTGCCATTGGCAATTAAATGTTTGCACTGTGCTGGAGTGCCAAGGCAGTTCCTGGCAGAACTGCTCTGTTTCTGCTCTGCAGAAACCTCTATCATATCATATTTTTTCTATCATAAAATCTATCATAAAATTCTTATCTATGAGGAGTCTTCTTGGAAATCTGTTTCTACAGGAAGACTCGGGAAGACAAAGAAGCACCAGGAGAAGTCTACACTGACTCTTCCTGGGAAAGCCATGGTCAGCCTGGAGGTATAGGTGAAGCAGAGTCAGGAGAAGGATCAGGAAGGGGCAGGAGAGCCCAAGTCAACAGGTTCAGGGACAGCTGCCACGTATTTCCTGAGGTCTTTGCAGCAGAGCTTGCCCAGCTGTACAAGAGCATGGGTGCAGACCCCTCACCTCTGCCCGCATGTCCCTTCTGTGCTCTGGCTGATGGTGCCTCTTCACAGGACCACTGGATTTCCCTGGACTCACCTCAGCCTACACCATCCTGGTGTCCCTGCTACCAGCACCAGCAGGAATACTTTATATTAGAGGATGATGATTTTTTTAGTGATAACACATAAAGAAATGTATTTCCAAAACCAATTAAGTTTTTGCCTGTTGCAGCTGTTTCTATTGGGGTAGAATGCACAGAGCTGGGAGCAGGGCTGGAGCTGTCTGAGAAGCTGCACTGCACCTGCATTTGCACTGCAGTACAGGACATGTTTGTGCCAGCCTCAGCCTGCTTTCCCAGCAATGGCCATCAACAAGGCTTTCCTGCACCAGAATAGGGACATGCTGGTGAAGCATGAGGTCCACAAACTTCTCTATGAGCTCATTTGGGATGCTGCTGTGAAACAGCATGTTCTGGGCAGAGAGGGAAGGATGTTCTGGGAAGGATGGCTGAATAGTGCTGAGCACATCAAGGAGACTTGACATGGTGACTTAGGTCATGGGGGATGTGGTAGTCCCCCCCCACATAGCTCAGAGAGGATCAAGGAGCAGAAATCTGGAGCCAGACTGGGTGAGACACAGAGGGGAAGAAATGTGGTATTAATCACAGGAATGAATGGTATTAAAAATTAAGTTGTTAACATAGACAATAATTATAATAAAAATTACAGTCTTCTCCCCCACACAATGGAAAAAAGCCATTAGGTGGAACAAAGCAAAGGAAGCGTGCTCTGGTGTTTTGTTTAAGTGAGGCACTTGCAGATTCTGTGTAGCACCTTAATTACTGTTTTCAGATTTGACTTAACTTTTGGTTCAGGGAGATTAAGATGGAGGCAATATACACCTGTGTTGGTGGCTGGTTCTGAGGGTCTTTTTGACCCCCAGCTGCCACCAACTACCCCAGACAGAGGGTCCCGCAAAGAACGGCTGTCCAGGAGTCTTGGGTGGTTTCCCAAGGGGTAACCCCTATGAGCACGGTCTGAGGCATCAAGTGATCAGCTCTTTTAGATGTGATTTCAGCTCTGTGATCAGCTCAGCCCAGCTCTGCTCACCGGTTACCCCAGCTGACATGTAGACGACAGATGGGAGGCTGTGTAGCATTCCACAGAGTCCTTTATTGGCAGGCTTCAGCAAAGGGGGCTGTTGGGAAGGTAGAATTAGAAAAGAGTTATAAATATGACTTCTTAGCCAGAAAGGCTAAGGAAGAAATACAAATGAAAGCACGGTTTGAATAATTCAAAGAAACCAGTCTGGTATGCCAGAACACATTCTTTCCCCCAGTAAAACTTAGCTGAGACCCCTCTCCCCAGCCTTATAAGGAAAGGTCTGAAGGACCCTGAAATAACTAGAAATATGCAAAAAGCAGCGATTTCTATAGGCCACACACAAATGTTACTGTATTACTATACTTACAAAGATTGGTTAGTAAAGGAATAGAATATTCAAAGGTATAGGTTGTATAAGTAATTGTAAAGGAGAGCTCAGCCTCTTTTTCCCCGGCTCTCTCACTTCTGTTCTGTCACTCTCCTTCTTAAGTCTTGAACTCATGTATTCATATTTTACCCCCTTTTGTATTGTTCCCTCTGAGCCTGCTTTGAGCTTCATCTGCTGGCTCCTAGCAGGGTTCTCTCTCTCCCACGCCCTGAAATAAACTACTAACATCTAACTCGACTATAGAGGTCTCTGCCGTGTCCTGGACCGTCCACACCCCGAAGTATCTCTTACAGGGGCCAGTGACGAACTTCCACTGAACAGGGCAAAAGCTGGGGTTTTATAGGGAAGGGGAGAATTGGGAAAAGGACCAATGGTTTACAGGGAGATAACAAGGGGTCCTGAAGCAGGAAGGGATCCACAGCTTAGTCACCATGACTAAGTTGTTTTGTCTTGTCTTAAGGAACAGATCTCCAAGGAAAAAGCCCTTTGGAGGACTTTCTTCTTCTTGTATAACTCCTCCACACACCTGTATGAGCAGTTCAGAGATGGGGGTATCCGAGTTGAGATCAGAAGCCAATTCTACTGAATATACAAGGCATTTATATAGGGTTTTACTTGTATGATACTTACATAGGGTTCTATTTTTGGTAACAATTTCTCATTGGTTATACATTCTTCATGATATCAGTTACCTGGTAACCATTACAAAGTTTCACAACATACTTCTTGGTCACTTCTACCCTGGGGAGTAGTTATCTGTGTCTGTCTCTCCCATGGTTTCTGTTTGATTAGGCGTAAGATGTTAGGCTCCTTTATCAGTTCCATTGTGCCCTCTGTTCTATTCAACTTGCATCTGGGTATTTTCTGTTCAGTTTCCAAAGTGATGGAATGTAGGATTGTGAAGGAGGTCTTCCAGGTGGGAAGTGACAGAGTGCTCATCTCAGATGAAGAAAGGAAGTCACTGCAAGAAACCAGGATACCAGGGAACTGCTGTCCTGGGCTCATGAGTCAGATTCACTGTGGTCCTGCAGGCTTTTCCCTGTGCCTACTCCTACTTGGCCATCTACAGCCAAAGCTGGAGGTGTGAGTGCAGCAGATGTGTTGTCCAAGAAACATGGCACAGCTCTCTGAGGCTGTCACCTGCAGTGTGTGTGGAGGATATTTCCAGCAGCAATTAGCAGAGAAATGCTTAAAGACGTCTCTGGACACTGTTGGGCTTTGGGGGTTATTGTATGTTGTGGTAAAGGTTGTTAGAATGTTACTAACTTAGAGATGGTTAGTTTATGTTTGTAGCTGTTAGCCTGGAATGCATCCTCCCCCAAGCATTGGCTTCTCTTCTCCTCTCCTTCTCTCCTTCTCTCTCTCTGCTGGGGGATGATTTTACTGTGGTTAGTGGAGTTTTTCTTCGTCAGATCTCTGTCTTTGAGCCTTGCAGCCGCCAGGGGCCGTGCCGATCCCACCCCCCCTACCCGGCAGCGGGGAGGCAGCGGGGAGCCCGACGGAGTGGAGGGAGGGCGCCGCTGTCATTTCCAGCCGCTCCGGGTTTCTCTAGCACGAGAAAGGCGGGAGAGGGACGGGAGAGGGACGGGAGGAGAGGGACGGGAGGAGAGGGGGGAGGGTGGGGAAGAAGCACCACTGCTGCTTCCCCGCAGCCAAATCAACTCCGCGCTTTCGCTGGAACTGACAAGGAATTCCTAGATACTTCCTGGCTTGGAGCAGATTGTCACGGTTTCCTCTGAGCCCAGCAGAAAGGGCCCGGGAAGGCACAGGGGTAGGAAAGGCCAGAGCCCACTCTCTGGCATGCGGGAACTCACGGCTTTGTTCTCCTCGTCCCTGACCTGTAGTCACTGCCTCCAGTTTCTGTGCATTTTCCGGTTCCTGTGTCCCATCTAAAGGAGACTGAGTGTGTACCTTTGCCCCACCTCTTCCCCCCTGAGCTTCCAGGTTTGCTTTGTACATCCCACGCAGAGTAAGAAGTTTCTTATTCGAGGGAATGTACGCCTGTTATTTCATATCTTAGTGTGTTTAGCCTTGATTTGTATGAAGTTTGTAAATGTGCTAGCTGTGAAAAATAATTGGTTCTCTCTAATGTTCCCACCCTTCAAAGAAGCCCCTGTTAAAAGAAGCACCCCAGACCCCAAACCTTTTGTCTCATTCTCTGGAGTTCCCTTCACAGAAATAAACTGTGGAACACTGTTACGGCATGGGGTCAATGGTAGGGTGCCACAACCTTCCCAGAAGTGTCTCTGGGAAAGCCGCTTCGGACAGCGCCACACACCCACACAGACATGCAGCCAGATAGATGCAGTTGGAGTCAGTGGCGAGGAGTCAAGAGGGGCCCTTGTATGGGTTCCACAAGGAGCGTTTATTTCTTCTGACTCGTGAAGGGTCCAGGAACAAAGGGCCCAGAATAAGGGCTGTGCAACACATTTTGTACTGGGGGTGGAGAACAACTGGGACCAATGAGCTTAGGGCCAGGGGGTGGTACAGAGGAGGGTCCAGGGTGCTAGAGCCAATCAGTCCAAGGTAGGGGGGGATTAGGGAAATCAGGCCAATGGGGAACCAAGGATGAGAGACGATTCTAGGGATAGGGGAAGGTCGGAGGAAAGGAGGCAGGGAGGAGACTGCCCAGGGGGAGGGAAAAGGGGCTGGCCAACAGGCCAGGGGGAAGGGTAGAACTGGGGTACATGTGTCATCAACAGGGAGACTCCATAAGAGAGGCCTCAACCATTAAATTATAGTGGCATCCCTCCAAGGGGATTTCCCACTCTCCTGGATAGGGGGCTCACAAATCCCCACAGAACATAACCCAGCAGAAGAGTCCTCCCTGTTTCTTTACTTGTTTGAGAGACTTGAGTTCCAAAAGTAAATTGTTAAGCTCAAATCCTACTCCTTCTGGCACCGAGCCAGAGTGAGGAAAAACCCCATCTCTGAGCTAGCCAAGAAACTCTGGGCTCTGATCAATTGTACACTTCTGGCTCAGGCGGTAGACTTTCCTTAGAAAATTCTATTCTGTTATAAATGGGCTTGGACTTTTTGGGTGAAAAACAAAGTCAAACCCTTTCTTAACCAAGAGAGGCAAGAGCCCAGGATAAGCCAGGACTCTGCTACAGCAATGCCAAACACTCTCCCTTAGATCAGACTCCATGGGAAGACTCCAAGTGAAGTCCTGCTGCCCCTTTTATAGACCCCCCATCCAGGATTGGTCCATTCATGATCCACTCTCTGACTGGCCCATTTCCAGGGCTCTCATTGGTTCTTAAGAGGGGTCACTCCTGACCAATCATTCCTCTGGGGCATCAATGATTGGTGTTTCCAGTACAGACGTCACTCCTGGGAGGTCATGTTCTTGAGTGTTCTTTTAGCTGAACCTTTCCTAACACCACGCAGTACCTCACCAGCCCTGGGCCATCGTCATCTCCACTTGAGTGCCTTCACACCAAACCACCATACCTCATCCATTTCACTTATAAACCCACAAGAACCCACACTCCCTAACCACAAATATTAGCTAGGAACAATTTATTTTGAACAGCTATTAACTTATAACCCAATGTTAACAGTTAATCAACATGTTACAACAACTAGTTTACTTATAACAACTCTCCCCTCTAAAACTTTGATACTTCTTGTAGAGTTTTTCTGCTGTCTCTGGCTTTTGGTCTTCCTCTGCGTTAGTAGTCTTTATCAGATGAAGTTTCCCTGTATCTCCTTTACTCAGCT